CAACACCATCAGTCTGGCGGTCGATGAAACGGGCTGGCCGACCCACTGTGCGCTTGGGACGCGGCATGGCACAGTGATGGGGATGTGTTCGAAACTATCCAGTTGTCCGGGAGGCTTACCACAAAAAACAAATGTTTACTGAGTCTGCATCCGATAGTGTATCGTAGAAATTCAAGCAGAAATGGAGTCGGCCTAGGCCTATATGCTCTGTCTCCAAAACCGTCAAATAAAAAGTTGAAAACTTGTGAAAAATGTCCGACTCCTCCCACGATCGAATCACCAAGGATGAAAAGTTATGCACAGCACGAAGAAGCAAATATCTCCAAAAACAAATTGAAGTGTTGACCACACAATAGGGCTTATCCAAAAAAGAGTAGGCCTAAATCCAGAGGATATCCAAATGGAAGTGTTGACCACACAATATATATCCAAAAGTGAGTAAATCCAGAAGAAAGTATATCCAAATGGAAGTGTTGACCATACAATTTATATCCAAAAGCAGTGGAAATCCAACACACAAATTTTTATTTCCAAATCACTGTTGTAAAAACAATTTACATGTACATGTATTCAGCTCAAGAAACTGTGACAAAGTGAGGCTATACACCTTCAAACCCACAATCTTCCTAGAGTCCCCAGATACAGCCAACTCTTTCATTGGTTAAAAGTTTTGCCTACCTCTCCTGTGATTGGAGAGCACCTCCTAAAACTTTGCATCTAATTTGCATAACACTGCACTCCCTAATATGGTGTTGACCTAGATGTTCTAGAAGTGTCCAGGCTATATATTTTTAGCTATCATGTAGGCCAACTGTATAGACTTGAATTCCCTGTGTGCAGCCTCCAAAAACAGACTGGTAATCTAACAAGTACAATGCAACTGAGTATAAATAATTTTATCTTTAGTGTATGTAGCAGTTCGCGCCGTGCAACAGTTTAGGACGAGGCTATACATGTACTGTACATGTACGTGTGCATCTATCATCATGCATGCATGGTGCATCGATCTCCGTCCGCACGCGCACTGCCTGTAGCGCGATCTTCTGCATGTTCGTTGTGTCATGGAGAGGATCTAGGAAGGTGCAAAACCGTTGTGCACTCCAAAGTTCCACGCGCGCTATCGTCATACAATTGAGGAGAAACGTTCAGAAATGTTTTCAAAACGTATTTAAAATTCATTTCTATAGATTTTAATTATATTTCTTCCCTTCAAAAAAAAAAAAATATGCAGGGTCGGCCGCATTTTTAGGGTCGGTCGGGTTACGCCAACATAACACTTTTTTTTGTGAGGCCTAAGCATGTGTCACTACTCTTCGGTCATTGATTGTTCAACGCTATCCAACGCTAGAAGAGGGGTTGAACCTGCACGATTAACAATGTCTGAATGGCAGGATGGTGTATCTCAAGCATGGATAGATCCTCAGCTCATCGAGACAGTCAGCAATCCTATGGAAAAGGCTCTGCTGCAGTCATTCAAGTTGATTTACCAAAAAGGCAAAGGGAGTCGGAAGCTTGTCCCAGTCCTCTTGACACTCTGAAACCAATTCAGGTTATTGTAGAGATGAGGAAAGATGCATGGGTTTCTCCAGACAACGTATTTCTGTTCGCCTACACCCAGAAATCGACAAATCATGTCAACGGATGGTCGGCAATTAAGTATGTCACCAAGGCTATGGGAAATCAGCTATCCAATCCTTCCAAACTAACCGCTACTAAATACAGACGCAGGGCGTCAACTCTGTATGCTTTACTTGATGTAGCTGAAGGGGATAAGCATCTCTTCTACAAGCACATGTGTAGCTGTTCAAAAGAACTTTCCGTCAGGGGTTGAGGTATCTGCCTAATGTTGTGATCTCAATGACGGCAAGGGGACACTTGTATGCATAAACAGTCTGTGACGTATGACCGACGTGTTTTTGGACGTGCGTGCAGCAGCAGGGCCGAACGGTATACGTCACAGACTGTTTATGCATATTCATGATTTTGCGCGGGCGCGCCTGCTAATTGCATACATTACAGCGCGGCCGCCATTTTGAAATCGCATGGGGGATCGCATGGGGGACGATATTTGTGGAATCTGATGACTGAAATTCGTCTTGTGGCCAGATGGATGAAAATATTGAGACCAAAGAACGTTTTTTTCGAAAAGGTATGAGTTGCTCTACGACTACAAACCTTAACTTTGGAAATTTGTGTCCTGGATGAAAAGATAATCGCGATCGAAAGATGTAGCAAAATCGCTACATCGGCGGCCAACAAAATCCAGTCTCTGTGGAAGCATCGGGCGTCTGGCCGTACTACAAAGCTTGCGATAGTACTGTACGGCCAGACGCAGTCGGGCTATGTCAACACATGTCCTTTTCATCACAAACATTTTACAGGAGAGAGGGAAAACTGAATAGGATTTATAGTGGCATTTTGAGTGAAACTTGGTTCCAAGTCCTCTTTGTCTCATTGTCAAAAAAAATGAGCGTTTAGCCGTCCATGACCATTTGAATGAATAACGCATCATTGGAAAGAGGGAATCTGTGGCTTTAAGTTGCTGCTAGGTATTTGGTGTTAAATTAGCCCAGTCTCAACAAAAGTCAAAAGAAATGTTGTTGTTCTTTTATACACACTGTATATACATGTTTGCAAACCTTCACCAACTAGCCCAGCACTTACTAATAGTAAGTTCCATGGCCCAGCTGTTGAGTCATCCTTCAGCATAATGAAGGATGTCTTGAACAAGAAGAAGTCAAGCTTACAAGTCGGCAGCTTCTCCGCAATCCAGACTGTCAAGTACGAGCTTATGTCAAACGACAAGACAGCCTTGCAGTATTTTGACAGGGCAGACCCATCCTACACTCCTGTAAATACCACCTTGTGCAAAAATATGCGGACTGCATACCGCACGTATACAGATAACAAAGATAGTGCAAGGAAGAAAGAAGAAGAAAAGAAAAACAAGATGGGTTTCGAGAAACCGGTCAAGACAGTCACAGTGTCATCAAAAACCCAAACTAAACTTGAACAATTCAAAAGGGCACAAGAGGATCTTGAAGAACACCGTGTAAAAAAAACAGAAAAGGGCCTTATAAGGTAAGGAGAGTCCCTTGTGAGGTTTGCAACGGCCAGACAGCATGAAAGAGTTACATGTAGATTTAAAGGAAGTTTATTTTTTGCGAGGCGGGGCTTTGGCAGACTCGCACTCCAAACCTCAATTTCAACACAGTTTTCATATACAAGTTGGCCATTGAGGCAGTTTCATGCCAATAAATGAAAAGTTAATTTAAAACATGCATAAATTGTAAAACATTTTTGACCAATAGTTGGCCCAGGAGGCTGTAAAATGCACCACAAAGCATCTACATTTCAAAAAAATTTCGGGGCCCTTGGGCGGGCCCCGGACCCCACGCCGTAAGGGCTTCGCGCTCGCAGGTTCGGTTATTTACAGGTTCAGCTATTTCCAGCTATTTTTTTTAACTCCACTCACACCCCTGTACTATGTATGAGATCTTCTCTTTCCTCTTTGGATTCAACTTCCAGACACAATATCACCAATTAATGATTTTGAGGCAGACTTGAAGGCATGTCTTGGATTTGCCATTTTCCTTATTTCATTGTTTTTCATGCAGGCCATTGTGAATAGAAAAAAAACAGACCAGTGTGAATACATGTAGAAAAAAACCAGTAGAATCGATGCACAGGTCTCTTATGGTTTGGAATTGTCCTTTATTTAATTACTGTAGCATGACGGGTTTGTCATATGGTGCTACAACAATCTTTACCTCATGCTTGATTTACCTCTTTAAGTTTTTCTCAAAGTGGATTCTTTTTGTACATCTTCACTGATGGTATGTTTGATAAGAACCGGTTGATCTGCTTCGAATTGGGATGAAATACAAATTCAATGGACAATTTTGTTTGGGGTAGGGTTAGGGTCAGCCCTAAACCAACATCGTACCTTCAATTCTGCATCCCCGTACACAAAAGTTGCATAGAATTCTATAAGAAAGAATTCTATAGAAATTCTATTAAGCATTCTATAGAATTTTGTCTATAAAAATTTTATAGAGTTTCTTTAGAAGTCTTCTATAAGGTTTTATAGAGATTTTATAAATTCTATTGAAAAATGGGCCATAATTCTATACACCGGTTTATAGAATTCTATCGAAATTAGGCCTTTTCTATAGAGCAGTGAATAAAATTGTATAAAAATAAGGCTAGTTTTATATAGAATATTGTATAGAAATATATAGAAAATTTTGAACTTTTTCTATGAACTATTTTATAGAACTCAATCGAACTTATAGAGATTTTCTCTTATTTTTATAAAAACATTTTATATACAAAATTGATAATTTTGTTGCAATTCTTAACCCTTTGTGTTCACTGTTTGTGTTGTAAGTGATTTGGAGCCACGGTGAGGATGTTTTCCTTGACAATGCTCTAGAAACATATTCCAGTGCCATATGTTTTTCTAAATGTGCACATAAAGTACACAGAGCTGCCTTGGCACTTCCTGCAAAACCCAGCCTGCCCGTTGAAGAACTTAGCCAATCCAGTGCGGACCTCGGCCCATCCGGGGGAAGACTCCAGTTAAACCAGTGAAATTTCACAAAACTCAGTTGTTATTCTATTTTTGTGTGCGTTTTTTCGGGAGAGTTCTTCTCTTTTTTTCCAATTCAGTTCACACAGAATAACATATTTGTTCTGCACTTGAGACATTTTATAGTTCAATCCACCTCATGCAGCTTTTAGACATGCTATTTCAAGATATGGCAAATTTATGATGACGTTCATCGCGGTAATGTGACATGCATGTTAAACGGATTTCTTTTTCGTTGGATGGAGATAAGGGTTCAATAAGGAATGATGGAGTTTTGCTGCAAAATAGGGGTAGATGCAGAGTGGGTGTTGGATGAAGGAAGGGATTGGATGCAGGATTGGGTTAGCATGCAGAGTTGCATCAGGATGTTAGATTGGGATAGGATGCAGGATTGGGTTAGGATGGAGGATTAGGGAAAGGATGTTGGTTTGGGGTTGGATGCAAGATTGAGGTTGGATGCAGGATTAGGGGTAGATGTTGGTATGGGGGTACGATGTTGGTTTGGGGCTGGATGCATGATTGGGGTAGGATGCAGGATTGAGTTAGGATGCAGGTTTGGGGGTAAAGATGCAGGATTAGGGTAGGATGCAGGAATGGGGTAGGATGCAGGAATGGGGGTAGGATGCAGGATTGGGGGTAGGATGCAGGATTGGGGTAGGATGAAGGATTGCGGTAGGATGCAGGATTTGGGGTAGGATGCAGGATTGGGGAATAGGATGCAGGATTGCATGGGTGCTGGATGCAGGATTGGGGGCTGGATGCAAGATTGGGGGTAGGATGCAGGATTGGGGTAGGATGAAGGATTGCGGTAGGATGCAGGATTTGGGGTAGGATGCAGGATTGGGGAATAGGATGCTGGATTGGGATAGGATGCAGGATTGGGGTAGGATGCAGGTTTGGGGGTAGGATGCAGGATTGGGGTGGGATGCAGGATTGGGTTAGAATGATGGATGGAATGGGGGTAGGATGCAGGATTGAGGGTAGAATGCAGGATTGGGGGTAGGATGCAGGATTAGGGAATAGGATGCAGGATTGGGGGGTAGGATGCAGGATTGGGGGCTGGATGCAGGATTGGGGGTAGGATGCAGGATTGGGGTAGGATGCAGGATTGGGGGGTCGGATGCAGGATCGGGGGCTGGATGCAGGATTGGGGGTAGGATGCAGGATTGGGGTAGGATGCAGGATTTGGGGTAGGATGCAGGATTAGGGAATAGGATGCTTGTTGTTGGGGGGTAGGATGCAGGATTGGGGTTAGGATGCAGGATTGGGGTTAGGATGCAGGATTAGGGGTAGGATGCAGGATTGGGGGTAGGGTTAGGGTCAGCCCTAAACCAACATCTTACCTTCAATTCTGCATCCCCGTACACAAAAATTGTATAGAATTCTATAAGAAAGAATTCTATAGAAATTCTATAAAACATTCTATAGAATTTTGTCTATACAAATTTTATAGAGTTTCTTTAGAAGTCTTCTATAAGGTTTTATAGAGATTTTATAAATTCTATTGAAAAATGGGCCATAATTCTATACACCGGTTTATAGAATTCTATCGAAATTGGGCCCTTCTATAGAGCAGTGAATAAAATTGTATAGAAATAAGGCTAGTTTTATATAGAATATTGTATGGAAATATATAGAAAATTTTGAACTTTTTCTATGAACTATTTTATAGAACTCAATCGAACTTATAGAGATTTTCTCTTATTTTTATAAAAACATTTTATATAACTCTATAGAAAATTTGGAACTTTTTATGTGAACTATTTTATAAAACTCTATAAAATTTTATAAAGATTTTCTCGTATTTCTATAAAAACATTTTATAGAACTCTAAAGAATTTTATAAAGATTTTCTTTAATTTCTATAAAACATTTTATATAAATCTAAAGAAAATTTAGAATCTTTGCTATGAACCATTTTATAGAACTCTATAAAATTTTATAAAAGTTTGCTCAAATTTCTATAAAAACATTTTATAGAACTATGGAAATGTGTAGCTAGTTTTGCAACATTGTATAGAACTCTATAAAATTGTATAGAAATTTGAACCTTTTCTATAAGCTGCACAATAAAATTCTTTAGAAATATGATTTTCTATAGAACATTTAATACAATTTTTACAGAAATTTCGACATTTCTTTGGAGAAATGATTGAAAATTTAGTTCTGTTAACTTCAAAATGTGACATTGGTGTTACTCTTTACCAAATAAAATCACGAAAAACAAATATGACATTTATACACAACTATAGATGGACAGACGTATTTTTTTCTTTTTTTTTCTTCTGAATTTACATATTTGTGCATGCAAAGGGTGGGCAGATATCTTTCCTGGGCAGTATAACAATCAAAAGCACCAAAAATGCATACAGTCTGTACACAGTTAATGTGATGAAGAAAAAAATGGGGAGTGTATTACAATCAAAAGCACCTAAAATTTACAAAGTCTGTACACAGTTAATGTCATGAAAAAAAATATTCACTTATGAAATACACAGAGGTTCATGCTGCCTGATTATGAATAATACTAAGAGATAACTTAAATATTTACACGGATAATAACGTTCCAGTGTTAAACAATGGCAGATAAATAAACATAAGTTTTTTTAAATGTTGTACAAGTGAAAATGTTTTCAACTTGTAAATGTCTTCTAATAAAACATATATAAATTCAGGTGAAAAACCCCACAAAATTTCATCATGGGAAAGATATTGCAATTAAGAAAGAATTAGATTTGTGGTTAGAACGATCCAGGCCAAGTTTGTAAAACCGGTGACTGCTCTATGTTCCGACACCCCTATGTTCCGACAACCCAGATTGGGTTACACCCGGTTAGGGTTAGGAATAGGAATAGGAATATGTGCAGTCGGAACACAGGGGTGTCGGAACATAGAGGTGTAACCGTAAAGCCACATTATTATCTGTTGAAAGACAATGATACAATGTACGTTGTAAACAAAGACACTTACCAAAAAAATGTGAGACATCAAAAATTGGAAGGTTAGATTTCTGTAAATCTCACATCATAACACATGTAGAAGTTGACTGAAAAACAACCCCACAGTTTTATTTGAATTGTTTTCCTGAGAAGGATACTGTAAATTTGGCAAGAAAGACACATGCATGAAAGACTTGTGGTTGCTACAATCCATACCTTTATTCAGTTTGTAAAGCCATGCATACAGCTTTATTGAAAGGCAATGGTATTCAGACAGTTTGAAAACTACAATTGGAAATTTCAACAAAAGCACCAATCATAATTTCCAACAGTCATTCTATCCAGCTAGATACCCAGTACATTTCGAAACTACGTATGTTCAGGCATAAATTATATGACATCTTCACTGCATTATTTTCATGTTAAACAATATTGAAGGCAATTTTATTGGCACCAAATATGTAAGAGTCACATAATTTCACCTCGTTTTAATATTTGTAAACATTTAAAAAAACTATACCTACAAATTAAATTTCCCAAATAAATTTGGAATAAAGCTTATGTTCATGGCTATTTGGATCAAAGGCATTCATTATTATATATTTTTCTTTTTGTAAGTAGGTGCCCGCCTTTAGAAATCAACTTGAGTGATTATAACAGCATTGTCAATAGCGGCATGACTGACTTATTTTGTGCTATAAATTGTCACAAAGGAGGTCTTAATTTCATGGAATTGTATAATTTCATTTACCGTTTTCTTTTCCAAATTCATTTGGCAGCAACAATGATAAAGATACTGTGTAGAGGTACAGTTTTGGATGACAAAACTTACACACGTACACGTAGTTAACTAAATTTAAAGGAATGGGCAAATAAGTCAAATTACAGCAAAGTGAACACGGGGGCAAAACAGATGAACGTTGTTTCAGTCTTGTTTGTTCATTTCTTTTACCTTGTTTGCCAGTGACTGCCTTAAAATAGATGATCGAGGCACTTGGAAATCTCTTCACCGTAAAGTATGTTAACCCTTACTCTATGAGGGTAGTTTACTGCATGTCAGTTGGTTATGCCAATGCCCTCCAGCTGCAGTTTATTGGCAGATAGTTTTATTTAACAGTGAAGGCTCCAATTGGCAGGAGTTGGAGGCCCTGGAGGGTGCCTGATACTGACCAGCTGGGGGCACTCACTTTGTTATCAGAGTTCTCTGTGGCATGTATTGGAGTGCCTGTCCAGTTACCCTTGAAATGACATGGCAGATATTGGAGGGCCATGCAAAAAACATAGGAGATATTCTTGAGGCACATGCGTTGGAGGGTCTAGTAGGGTAAGGGTTAAAGAAACCACAAAAACAAACCTACTTATGGATTAAGTTGTAGTGATGTAAAAGGTTGTCCTTTTTTGACATGCGAGTTTTACTGTTTTATGTTTCTTGTTTCACCCACTCTTTTGGGGGCTGATTGAAACATCCCCACCATTTCTTTTTCGAGTCTTTTCATTTCATTTTCTTTTTCCTTTCTTATTCTTCGGAGATACTAGATAAGATAATAATTTTGACTGTTACTTTAACACTGGGTATTCCTATGATGCCCCACGCCAGGAATTCAAAGTGGTCTTATATGGCTACATGTACATGTTAAATTTATGTTACTATATCATTATTGTTTCAAGCGTGACTGAAAAAGAAAGGTAACAATACCTATGATTGCACCAACTCTTGCAGGATCCAGTGCCTGTGTTTCCATGGACGATGCCAAATGGGCATTTGACATTTTTGCCGGTCAGGCTACGGCTTAGGCGAGCCATCAGATAACAGACCGTTCGGGTACCGGGTCCGGTATGCTAATTTCTTTCACCCCAATCGGTACGAAGCCAGAAGCCACCCGGTCACTGAAGCGTGACGCCCCAATCGGTCCAAACTGGTGACTCGGGGTTTCACAATAGGCAACATAAATTGAAGTCTGGCCATTGTTGGAGGATTATTCGGCCCGCTCGGATTACCAGCGGCAACTTCTATGAAGTTCATCACAGCCATTGTTGCCTACTGGAGGATTAGCGCGTCGCAAATTGGTTCCTTTGTGATGAGCCAGAGCCATGGTGCAGAAGCCTGGTGGAGTTAATCCAGGCCGATCGGTTCCATGCAAGGTCCCAATCCCTTCAACATACTGGGCGGGCTCAACCCCGAACGGTCTGGGGAGGGATTCTAATTTGAGGGCTCGCCTTACAACTTCTTCTTTCTTGAATAAGGTAACAAAAAGATTCCTTGCCAACTTGGTGGCGCTGTCGCTGGCCTGGGTGATTGCCAGCAGCTTGACCTTCTCCAGTACAATTCCATTGCCGCTGTTCACCTGGATAGAGAAAACACACAAAACAGAACTCAGAACAATATTATGCTACATTATAGCAACTTTATGAGGTGAATCGTATGTAAAGTGTACGTACCTTGGCAGGGGTCTTGACCTCGGATGTGCCTAGCGCCTATACTTGAGCAGCAGGCACCTGTGCTGCAGGATTCTGAGGTGCTGCAGGATTCTGAGGTGCTGCATGATTCTGAGGTGCTGCTGGGAGGGGATCCTCTGACTGAACCGAAGGTACAGATCTTAATGCATTTGCTAGATCCTTCAGCTAAGTAAAGGTCTGCAACATAATGAAGGGGGAAAAAAATACTTGAACTTTGACCAACAAAAATATACAATGTCACTTTGTGTACGTCTTTTGCAAAAGAACATTTCATTTAATGTTGGGAAATTTGTAGCTAAACAAGAATATCCGAGGATACTATTGTAAACAAAAAAAGTAGGTATATATGGAGGGTACCAGACTTTGCCATAGGAATGGGGGGCAGGTACCAGACTTTACCCCTCCCCAACGATTCCCCGCCCCCTCCCGTCTCCGCCCCCTCCCCTCCCAATGATCCCCCTCCCAATATCTCAGTCTCAGCCCCAGGCCAAAACCGGGGCCCATTATCTCTCGTCTTGAAGATCTGTCTCTCACCAGCCGGTGAGTCTGATTGCTTATAAATCAAAAAGTCTGACCTCTTAAAAAAATTTAAAACAATTATATTGATATAATTATATAAATGATGAATATGATCAGGCCAATCGTTAAGGGATTTTCTAGAGGGAATAAAGCGACGTTGCGCGATTACGTCTAGCGATATAATATACCGTACAATCAAAATGTTGCTCTTACGCGTAAAGTCTACATCAACGGGATAAAAAACTACGAAGCTCAATTTAAAAACTTGAGGAAAAAGAAGCTACATGAGCTCAAACACATTGCAGACGATAACGATCTAGAAAATAACCCGTCGGGTTATAAAGGTCGATTTTTGAAAAAAGATTTACTCTCGGCGATTTAAAACTCTAGGCAACCCGATGATTTTCAAGAGGCTGAGTTTAGAGCGACGAGGAGATTTAGAAACAACTTTAGAAACTGGGAACTGATTCCTAGACTTTTTAACGACGATTTAGTCAAGTGTTTTGATACGCAAAAAGATCAAATTGTAAATAAAATCAAGTCAGAATTGAGAGATCTGAGAGGTTTAAAAATGGAGCTCACAATCAAAATAAAATACGAAAAAAACAAACCGGATGGTACGATCGAAACGATCGAAGCTACACATTTTACCGATCAGAGAGTTGTTTTAAATCAAAGTCAAATAAAACAGGTTTTAAAAGAAGACATCGACCAGCTATTTAAAAAGGATGAAAGGTATACGAATCAAGGATCGGGTTGGGTTTTAAAAAAGATAATGGCGTTGTATATCAACATCAACAGGTTTAACCCCGTGAGGGGTAGTTCTTATATTGACCTACCAAAATGTATCAAACCGAAAACGGCGATGATTAACATTAAAAACAAAGACGACGAGTGTTTGAGATGGTGTTTGAGAGCTGCTCTTGGGTTGTATACGGATAAAGTAATAAACATAAAAAAAAAACGATCTTAAATATAAAATTCATAAAGAAGAACCTGTTGTATGCACCAAAGATGACGGACTCAAATTTAAAGGCGTAGACTTTCCAACACCGATCGACCAGATACCAAAGATAGAAAGACAAAATGATTAAACGATAAACGTATACGGTTATGAGGGGGAAATATATCCGTTATACGTGTCTAAAAACTACAAAGCAGAGTCACGACCTATCGATCTGTTTATGTTTTCTGAGGGCGACAAGCATCACTACTGCTGGATAAATAATTTTTCGAGATTGATTTACAACGTTACAAAAGATAAAAGTAAGAAATATTTTTGTCGAAGGTGCCTGTGTCATTATAGAACGCAAGTAAAATTAGATAGACACATGACCGATTGTAATGGTATAGATACACATCCGTCAAAGATTGTATTTCCTACCTCTAAGTGAAAATTTGTAAATAACGAGTGGATGGTCGACGAAAACGATGTGCCAATATTAGAATTTAAAAACTACAGGTTTAAACAAAAAGAACCGTTTGTAGTTTACGCCGACTTTGAATCGATATTAGAAAAAAACTCGGACGATAAAAAAGGACAACACGCAAAAGACAAACATTCACAAAGCTAGCGGTTACTCGTTGGTAGTAGTTAGATGCGACGGCACCAATGCGTATCAAGAGACTTATAGAGGAAAAGATGCCGCATCAAAGTTTGTAAATAAAATGTTCAAAATACAAAGCGACATAAATTGCAAATTAAAAAAAAACCCAACCCATTAAATTTAACGAGCGAGCTAAAAAACATCATGATAAAACAAACACGTGTTGGATTTGCGAGAAACCAATTTATCCCAATTACTCGAGCAAATGCCTCGAATGCAAAAAGAAAATCAACTTATTTAGAAAGGTGAGAGATCACTGTCACGTCACGGGTAGATATAGAGGTGCCGCGCACGCCTACTGCAATCTTAAATTACAAGTTAAACCAGGGTTTAACCCCATACCGGTCATCTTTCACAATCTGCAAAATTACGACGCTCACTTGATCATGCAGAGTATTTCAGAGTAAGATGACGAAAAGGAATTACAAGTTATCGCTAGAAATTCGGAAAAGTATATTTCGTTTTCGATCGGAAATATGCGATTTATAGACTCGTTTAATTTTACGGCGTCTTCGTTGGATAGATTATCTAAAACTTGTCCAAGAGAGTCGTTTAAACTACTCAGAGAACATTTTAATTGTCAAAACATCGACTCGTTGTTACAAAAAGGAGTTTATCCATAATTTATGAATACATGGACTCGTTTGACAGATTTCAAGAGACCAGCCTACCCCCCCATCGAACAATTTTACAGCAGCCTTAAATACAAAAATATATCGCGAGAGGACTACGACAGAGCTAAACTGACGTTGAACGAGTTTAAAGTTAAAAACATGGGGGAATATCACAATTTGTACGTCACTACTGATACGTTATTACTGGCTTGCGTATTTGAAAACTTTAGGCAAACGTGTATTACAAACTACGCGTTAGATCCGGCTAATTACTACACAGCACCAGGATTGTCGTGGGATGCCTCATTAAAACACTCGGAAGTTAAACTCGAACTGTTGCAAGACGTAGACAAACATTTATTTTTTGAAAAGGCAAAAAGAGGTGGTATCTCGAGCGTGGGTGGTATGAGATACCACAAAGCCAACAACAAATACCTACCCGACCATAAACCAAACAAGCCGTCAATACCTGCCGTACAAAGACTTTAAATGGGCGTCTGCAAAAACGTTTACCGAGTCCAAGATATTATTCTTCAGGAAAACGTCAAACACCGGTTACTGCTTTGAAATAGACCTCGATTACCCGGACAATCTCCACGACCTGCACAACGATTACTCCCTAGCGCCAGAAAACATCGTCACACCAAAAGAATGGATGTCTGATTATCAAAACGAGTTATTGGAAACCTAACCTTGTAGCAAAGTGCAAAAATTAACGTGTACCCTTAATCCTAAACAAAATATGTTTTGCACTACGTCACGTTACAGATGTATCTCAAACTCGGCTTGAAACTTAAAAAGGTGCATCGAGTGTTGCAAATTAACAAGCGCCTTGGATAGCATCTTACATAGACAAAAACACGAAACTCCGAACAAAAGCGACCTCTGATTTTGAGAAAGACTTTTTTATACTGATAAATAACAGCGTGTTTGGTAAAACGATGGAAAACGTCAGAAACCGGATTGACGGTTACCTACTCAGAGACAGTAACGATGACGATCGAGATAAATACGAAAAAATTATAAAACGACGACGTCATTTTTTGAGTGCAAATTGCACACTGACGACGTATACAAATATATGCAGCAAAACGGGCAACAATACGACCTTTCAAATTATCCGACGGATCATCCTTTGTACGATCCAACCAATAAAAAAATGATCGGTAAATTTAAAGACGAATTTGGAAGTAAAATAATCAAAAAAGTCGTTTGCATAAGACCTAAAATGTATTCCATTTTAACCGCCGACATCAACCTGAAAAAAGCAAGGGAGTCACAAAATCGGTCACCTCTAAGAAATTAAAACACCGACACTATTACGACTGCATCTTAAACAAGAAATCTCATTACGAAATCATGACTCACATTAGGTCGGAAAATCACATCCTTTACACCGTATCTCAAAATAAACTATCGTTGAGTCCGTTGGACACAAAGAGGTACATTTTACCGGACGGTATAAACACGCTGGCTTTTGGTCACCACGGAGGTAAATGCGTGTCCTCGGGTACGACTTGAAGCTCTCGTCTCACAAAACTCCTTTTTGGGCCGTTTTGAAGGTAATAAAGAGTAGGAACCGTCGTGACTTTTTTTTCAGTTAATCATTTTAAATTGACTCGTTTTTTTTTCCACGTTGAAGATGTCTACGCTCCAAATGGGATCCGTGGCTCTTCTAACCATGGCGTCTTGCGGTAAATTCTGCTCTTTTGTTTTAACGGGGTTAGCCGGCGACTGCTGGACCTGTTCTAGTTTAACCGCCTCTGACGGCGCTTTAGCTATTAATCTTGTCGTTTCGTCGTTTATTGCCTTGATCACGCCGGGTAATCGCTCGATCCATTGCGTGTTTTTACTCTCGGGATTTAACATCTCTTGAGCCTACTGATGACCAAACAGTCTCTCGGCTAGCGTTCGATTAAATCTTTCTACGATACCCTACGATCGGTGGTTTCCGGGTTTGCCGACGATAATCTCGACGTTTTTTGAGGTCATCCATTTTTTAAATGCGCCTTTAACAACATAAAAGCAGCCATTATTTTAGTTTCAGTTTTAATATAAAAAGACTTTAAAATAAATGCATTTGTTTCACTTGTTTCAAAATGAGTTGGGGGGGGGGCAAAATGTCCCTGCCCATCTAAAACTGATAAATCGAGTATGTGTTGAGAAATACAAGCATTTTTTTTTGCAAAATCTTTTTTTTGCCCCCCTCTAGAAAAAAATCCTGGCGACGCCCATGACTGTGAGTTCACCTTCAAAGGCCCTCTTGCTTCTAAGAAAGAAGTAGAGAAAGTCAACTACCTGATGACATATATTGGAGACAAGGGGAGAGAGATCTATGAGACTTTCACATGGACACCTGCAGTTGGTGACAACTCAGCGGAGAATGACACTCTGCAAGGAGTGTGTGGTAAATACGAGAGCTACGTGGCACCAAAGAAAAATCAGATCAGAGCTACAGTAAATTCCCATAGCAGCATATACAACAAAACGGTGAGAAATTTGATGCATTCGTCACTGATCTGAAAATTCTGCTCAAGGACTGCGGTTACACAGATGAGGACCGCATGATCCGTGATGCCATTGTATGTCATGCATGGCATTCCAAAAATCGAGAAAAGTGTCTTGACAAAGGTGATGACCTGACTTTGGACATAGCGATAAGTATCGGGCAAAACCACGAAACGTCACAAGAAAGCCTGAAAATCATCAGCAAGGAAGATGACTCGAAAGTCCATTCCATCAAGAAACGTCACTTCTCGAAACCAGCTGAACAAACACGGAAAGGAGGAAATACAAAAAAACCTCCACCCAGACGTTCTCCAGCTGGCAAGACACCACAACAGCAGACCAAACGCTACCAAGGTGCCCAATCAAGTGACCAACTATGCCACAAGTGTGGTTACAGCTCAGCACACAGCAAGTGCCCAGCTAAAAACCAACGATGCAGCAACTGTCACAAAATGCACCACTTTGCAGCAGTGTGCCGCCAATTTTAGTTGCCAGGCGACACATCAGGTTGAAGAGAACGAGATTTACACATCAGATAACGACTGTGCATCAGACGACTACGCAAACCTGATCAGCTCAGTTGGAGATCAGAATGCTGACGAATGGTATGAGAATGTGAAAATAGCAGGCAAAACACTCCGCATGCAAATAGATACGTGTGCTGCCCAAAGCATCATGCCATGCCTTCGTCGAACTTGGCTAAAATCAGAAGTTAGAGCCAATAAAGCAGAAATTCGAGACCTACTCCAGTCACTGGAAGTAAAAGGATGTGTGACGATGCAACTCAATACAAGAACAAATCAGTCGATGTTCTGTATTACGTTGTCAGTTCCAACAAGAAACCGCCAGCAGCTACGACCCATCCAAAGAATCTTCAGCATAGACCGATATCCAGAGCTGAAAAAAAAAAAACAATTGGCACACTCCCAGAAACGTACTCACTGAAAATAGACCCGACAGTCACACCAGTAGTACACAGCCCAAGGAGACAACCACAGGCGCTGAGACAGAAGAGTATCAGCAAATTAGCAGAGATGTAGCAAGATGGCCATATCACCAAAATCACAGAGCCCACAGACTGGGTCAGCTTGATGGTGACTGTGGTCAAGAACGGCAAAGTCATAATATGCTCAGACCCAAAGGACCTGAACAAAGCCTTTCGAAGGGAGTATTACCCCATCCTGACGGTTGAAGAAATCGTCGCTTTGCTCACGAAGTAACAAAAACCTCAACATTTGACAAAAGTTCATCCTGAGATAATCGCATTTGAAAGTTATTCATTTTTTCAAAAGACATTTTCGACCACTTTGCAGTAACAGAATTCGGAATTTTTGGCATTATCCTATAGGATATGATTTGCTCTTTGTTAATTCATAGTTGTTTGTTAAAAATAGTTTGGAATTAAACAATAATTCTTAAAATTAATGTGGCCTGACGTTGCGAACTTAACAAGTTCTTCTTCAGAGGCTAAAACAGAAATGACAGAGGTACATACATTAACATGGGGGTGCACACAAACATGCAGGGCTGAAAGAAGAAACACAAAAGGAGGATTAGGTGTGAAAGGTGTGGAAAGATGCAGGGGAGGGTGGATGAGAGAACAAAGAAACAAAGGGAGATGGCAAACCACAAGGGGTCTTGTGTAAACAGGGGAGGGACCAGAAAGGGGAAGGATCAAACTCTCTTAATTCTGACGATTGAAATTTCAATCTATAAGATTGAATTCCCAATCTTTCACAGATTGCCGTGAGGGAACAATCTTTCCGGATTGACCGTCAATCTTTTTTTTAGATTGACAATTTTCAATCCACAAACGAGTGGAATTTCAAACTATTAGATTGAAATTTACAATCTATTTTCAATCGAATTTGGATTGAAATTTTTTCAATCTAGACTGATGATTGAACTATTCAATCTAAAAGATTGAAATTCACAATCGTTTAAAGATCGAAAATTCTCAATCCTAACCTAGCTGGATTGACACACTCGCGCATGCGCACTCCCGCCCAAACACACAAGTTGCACAATCCTTTTAATATAATGACATGTAGATCTTCGTGTCTTTAATTCAATACATTGCTGCTTTAATTCCAATTCATTGTAATACATAAAATTCAAGTTCATTGTAATACATTCAGTTTAAGGAACCATCAATAATAATAACTATAATAATCTTACATGGCCCCTTGTAATCAGTGAAAATAATTAAAATCCTGAAACTAAAAAA